AAAAAAAAAAAAAAATTGTTCAAAAATAAATAAATAAATAAATAAACCCATACATTATGGTCAGCTGATTTTCCACAAGAGTACCAAGACCATATGTGGCACCTGGGTGGCTCAGTCAGGTAAGCATCCAACTCTTGATTTCGGCTCAGGTCATGATCTCAGGATTGTGAGACTGGGCCCTGCATCAGGCTCTGCACTGGGTGTGGAGCCTGCTTGAGATTCTCTCGCTCTCCCTCTGTCCCTCCCCACCCCCTCTCTGAAAAAAAAAAAAAAAAAAGAAGAAGAAGAAGAGTACCAAGACCATCTAATGATGAGAGAAGTTTTTTCAAGCAACAACTGTATATCCACATGCAGAAGAATGAAGTAGGACTCCTTCCTTATATCACACACAAACATTAGCTAAGAACGGATCACAGACCTAAATGTAAGAGCTAGAACTATAGAACTTTCAGAGGAAAACACAGGAGTAAATCTTCATGACCTTGAGTTAGGCAAAGCCTTCTTGGATACAACGCCAAAAATGTAAGAAACAAAAGAAAAAATAAATTATATTTCATCGAAATTTTTAAACCTTTTGGGATTCAAAAGATAACATCAAGAAAGTGAAAAGAAAAAGAAAGTGAAAAGACAACTGACAGAATGGGAAAAAATATTTGCAAATCATGTATCTGCTAAGGAACTTGTACTCAGAATATATAAATTCTTACAATTCAAAAAGACAGGGGCACCTGGGTGGCTCAGTGGGTTGGGCAACCAACTCTTGATTTCAGCTCAGGGCATGATCTCAGGGTCATGGGATCAAGCCCTGCATCAGGCTCAGACATCAGCATGGAGTCCACTTGGGATTTTCTCCCTCTCCCTCTGCCCCTCCCCCCCACTCACACTCACTCACTCTCTCGCTCTCAAATAAAATCGATAAAAAAATAAATCAAAGACAAATAATCCAGTTGAAAAATAGGCAAAGGATTTGAATAGGCACTTCTCCAAAGAAATACAAATGGCCAATAAGCCCATGAAAAGATGTTCAACATCATTAATCATTAGAAAAATGTAAATCAAAACCACAATGAGATACCACTTCACACCCAATAGGATGGCAACAACCAAAAAACAAAACCAAAAGAAAGTGAATAATAACAAGTGTTGGTGAGGATGTGGAGAAAATTGGAGCCCTCATTCATTATGGCAATTTGGGAACAGAAAATGGTGCCACCTCTTTGGAAAACAGTTCCTGAAAATGTTAAACATGAAATTACTATATGACTCAGCAATTCCCTTCCAAGGTATATACCCATAGGAAATGAAAACATATGTCCACCAAAAAACCATTTACACAAATGTTCACAGAAGCATTACTCATAATTAGCCAAAAAGTAACAACAACCCAAACGTCCAAAGGGTAGCTGCTCTAGACAAGTTCAGGAACTTGCAAACAATCTGGTTTGACTATATGAGGGGGAGGAAACAGGAGATGTTAAGGGGCGCCTGGGTGGCTCAGTCAGTTAAGCGTCTGCCTTCAGCTCAGGTCATGATCCTGGGGTCCTGGGACGGAGCCCCGCATCGCGCTCCCTGCTCAGTGGGGAGTCTGCTTCTCCCTCTCCCTCTGCCTTTCCCTCTCTGCTCATGCTCTGTCTCTTGCTTTCTCTCTCTCAAATAAAGAAATAAAATCTTAAAAAACAAACAAACAAGGAAACTGGAGATGTTAGCAGAGGCCAAATCAAGAACAGTCTCCTAATTAATCTTAAGGAGATTTAGTTTCATCCCAAAGGTTATGGGGACCTAGCAAGGGATTCTGATCAGGAAAATGAAACAATCAGATTTGCAATGCAGACCTGTGACAGCATAAAGAATGAATGGGATGAGTAACACTAGAAGTAGAAAGATTAGGTAGCTTGCAGTAATCCCAGCAAAGAATGATGGAGACACAGAAACCATAAAGAAGACTGTTAAATCTATATAGGAATTAGAAATATATTTGTAGGGGGTGGGGGGATGGGTTAACCCGGTGATGGGTATTAAAGAGGGCACGTTCTGCGTGGAGCACTGGGTGTTATGCACAAACAATGAATCATGGAACACTACATCAAAAACTAATGATGTAATGTACGGTGATTAACATTATAATAAAAAAAGCATTGGAAAAAAAAGAAATATATTTGTAATGGTTACTGCTAAACAATATCAAAAACAAGTGACAAATTAGGGGGAAATATTCACAACTCCTATTAAAGATTTTAGCTAATGAGCTTAATCTATAATAACATGTATATATAAAGAGCCCCTGGAACATACCATTAAGAAAAACACAAACTAAAGAAAATGTTACAGACAGGGCAAATAAAACAGCCATGAAGAGGAGTTCAAATAAAAATCAAGTTCAACATTTTCTACACCATATTTATTTTGCCATAATTCTATCTATAGGTGATTTGAAACATT